TTTTCTAATTTCTACTTGATCTGACAACTGTTGTCACTATGAATTCTTTTCTTTTTCTTGCTAGACTCTTATATTACAAGTGAGAATGGATTTTAAACTTTTAAGACATAACATAGTTTTTAAATAGGTTTGAAGTGTTATATATGAATTTGAAGGCATAGATTTTTAAACCCATTTAAAAGCCTACATTTTAAGTAGACATTTAAACAGGCTTCAGGCCTTATCAGGTCCTTTAAAGGCTCAGGTTCAGACCTAGTAAAAGCCTATATGCAAGTTTAGTCCCAAGCTCATACTTCATATATCTATTATAGGCCCAGGCCTACTTAGCTAAAGCCTAGCCAACCTAGCCTATTTCCATCTCTACCCAAAAAATAAATAGCAAAAAGTTAAAAATGACCCTTCTTTTGATTACTAGTAAATAAATAATGATAGGTGATTATGATTTTCATATTAATTATTTTTGGAAACTATAATTAAAAAAACTAAAATTTTTCATAAATTTTCATAAATAATATATGATGGTAAACAAAAATCTAATGGCAGTATAAAACCACTATAAATTTATGCTTTTTAATCTCTCTTTTTTTTTAAATTATTGTGGATCCATATTCAAGTATACCATTAAACATTATATTAAGATCAATATTATAATATTATTTATTAATTTTTTCAGCTTCATGAAGTAAATTTGAATTTCATTATGGGGCATTTCTACGGTTTATTTTAGTTTTTCTGTTTTTATCGGAATAGATATGTGGATTCCAAGGCCGATCTGTTGTGAAAATTATAATTTAAAAAAATAAAATTTTTCATAAATTTTCATAACTAATATATGATGGTAAACAAAAATCTAATGGCAGTATAAAACCACTATAAATTTATACTTTTTAACCTCTCTCTCTTTTTTTTAATTATTGTGGATCCATATTCAAGTATACCTATTAAAATTATATTAAAATAAATATTATAATATTATTTATTAATTTTTTCAGCTTCATGAAGTAAATTTGAATTTCATTATGGGGCATTTCCATGGTTTATTTTAGTTTTTCTGTTTTTATCGGAATAGATATGTGGATTCCAAGGCCGATCTGCTGCTCATTTAGGAAGCTTGGCCCAATTATGTGAATGGCCCAATCCAATATACTTGGTGCTCATTAGAACTCCTATTACCAATAAATGCTAGGTCCAGCAAAAAAAGTTAATCTCCCACAGAGTGACGAGTCAAAGTTTAAATTCTAACCCTAATGAGAGAGGTGTTTATATTTAGTACCCAATAGCGCTTCAAACAAAATTACTTCTTATTGGATCATATGCCTAGTAAAAAAAAAAGACTAATTCTTTCCACCTCTATCAAAAAAAAACTCTTGATATAGCTGGAAAAATTTGTTTTCTTTTTTAAGACTATATATATATATATATATTATATATATCAGGTTTGGTAGGATTTTCCCATTGTGAATTCTACATGAGAAGCATTATGATACTCAATACATAAAAAATATAGTAATTAGACTAGGTGAAAGCTGGCCCACAAAAAATATGGATTAACCCTTGGTTTGGTCAAAGGAGGGAAATGGAGGGGTGACAAATTTTAATGAGTTTGATTTAGAAAGATCAAAGAGTAAAAAAATTAATTAAAATTTTTAATTCAACTTCTTTAGTTTTTAAAATCAAACTTATTAGAATTTTCCTTCTCCTTTCCTCTCTTTCATTTCACTCATGCCATGCAGACCCTAACTAAGTGAAAGAAAATCAATTTCTTTTTAATAAAAGGTTGAGAGACTCAAACATTATTCATAAAAAATAATCATATTAGATGGTTCACCTCTCTAATTTATATATATATATATATATATTATATATATTACTTGCATCTCATGTAGTACTACTAAATATTAAATAATCACTTCCTCTTAGCTTGTTCTTATTATGAAGACCTCCAATATGTTTTATACAAAGCATTACTTTTTTGAACCTAATATCCCTATCTAAAAACTATAATTCTTCTTAGCCAATTAATGACTTTTATTGAGGGCAATTTTAATACTCTATAAGAAATAACTAATTTGAACTAATTTTACAATAAATATCTCTGTCTTTTCAATATTGACATACAAGTCATTGTCTATTTCCTTATAAAGTTATTCAAGGGATTCATATTTGTTTCCCTTTAACTCAGGATTTTTAAAAGACGCCAATCACTAAAATGTGGGGAAAAAGCTTTGGTCTCTTGTCCCTGTCAGTAGGTAATATGTTCATTTTAAATAATTACCCATCACCCAACCAATGTGGTGGTGCTTTCAAGTTTAATTATATCAACGATATATTTTTTCTGGGTAAGGAAAGAGCAATTTCACACACAAGCACACACACACATTCATGCTTGGACTAAAAGCAAAAGGTGATTCGATTTTTATCATTCAAGGACTTAATTAATTGTGTTATGGAAAAATATCGCCAGTTTCTGCAACTTGTAATGTGAGTCCGAATGAACTCCTCATTCACTTAGTTTCTTGTGTTGTCATGATTGTTCCCTTAGAGAGAGAGAGAGAGATATATATATATATATATATATCACTTATATAACAATTCTTGGATGATAAATAAACAAAATGCATCTAACCCTAAAACTAATGCGCATGCAAATATATATATATATATATATATATATAAAAGCTACCAGTCAAAATCAAATAGGATAACTTGAGATTATGAAACACATACACAAAAAGACAAATAGAACATGTCAGAATTAACTGTCTGATCATTCATGTTGATTTCTAAAACTCAATCGATTCAAGTTGAAATTTCATCATTTTTATTACTCATTATCTCTTCTGTCTTTACGTCTTTTTTCTTTTTCTTTTCTTCTTGTTCAAATTTAACATCCATCCATGCATACATAACATGAGTTTAAATCTTGCTATTAATATATACTCTCTCTGGTTCAAAATATAAGCTTTTCCTATTTGTTAGGTTATTGTTTTCAGCCACCTAAAATATATTTTAATTTAGTTAAGTTTATTATTAGCAAAAAAAATTTTCATAATAAAAGAGTTTAGATATCAATGTAAAAATTTAAATTATACCAAATATAGGATGTTAAAGAGATAGAGTGGAGCAATTAAGATTAAGGGAGAACCATACATAAAGGCTAAATTCACAAATTTTTGTGTTCATAATAATCTCATTGTTTTCACTTGTAAATTTATTGTTTAAAGCGGCAAACAATATTACCAATATTTTTAGTCATATATTTGTATTACGTAAATGGTAAATGCTCATAATTTGACCAGTAAATTTACGCTATATAAATGATCAATGTAAAGACTTTCTGACTAATTAATTTATGTTTGGTCCTTCAGTATAATAATTATGATCTCCTCAAAAATAATGCAGTCATTTTTGAATAAATATAAGACATTGTGAATCAAGAAAAATGTATCACACTTTTCCTTGACAAAGAATCCTATAATGAAAGCCCTCCGTATGGATTCTATTATTCCACCTAAAAGTTGGATTTTTACCTTATATCCAGTGTATACTAAATATCCTTCATATCTTGCCCCTAATGGCCTAGAATTTGGTGAATTAATTAATTAATTAATTTTTATATATAATTTAATTAACTTATTTTGAATTGCTAATCTTGTTTTTTTCATTGGGGTCAAATCAATAGCGTATGACGAGTACAAGTTTAAACCCATAACCTTCTTTCCAAAGCGGAGATCGGTATCATTAGACCTAAATTTCTGAGTGCGAATTCTTTTATATATCTTGCATACCTTGTGCTAGGGCCCATCATTTGGACTTTTGCAGTTTTCAGTGATATGATGCATTTCATTCCATTCTTTTGTTTTCTCCGTAGCTCATGATGACTAGATAATATTTTATATATCTTTTTCTATTCCCAATATAAAAGCTAGTTGAGATTTATTTTGTTACTAATTATAATATTTCAATATATTTTATATCCTAAATTTATAATTTATTTTTAGACTATCATATATTTGAATAATAATTATGTTGATAAAGTAATTTCAATACAAATTATTAATTAAAAAAAAGGTATAACCAACATTCATTTTTTATATAGTTAGCTTAACTAATTTTTTTAATATTTATTAATTATTTACTTTCTATATTTAGGAACACAAGGAGTAAAATCCAAATGATGAGATATCCTTTTATTCAGTCTTGAGTATGAAGTGGAGCTTAGTTTAGACTTATTAAGAATATTAGTTGAAAGGTACTTAAAAATGTGATTTCACAAAAGTTAAAATGAAATTTCAACTCACATACTTACTTACTTTGTATATCTTAAATTTACTTTTAAAATTATAGTTTGGTTTTTAACCAAACACTCTCGAGTTTGGTTTTCTAAAATTACCCTTCATCTTAGTTATTACACAATTGAAAAACAGTGTCTTAAATAAGGCTAGAATTGAATTAGGAATCTTAAATGACCTAAACAAAAGCTACCTTTTGATTATATATGAGACCGATAAAAATCCCTCAATATTTACTTAGATAAATATAAATATATACATGTGTGTGGGTGTATATATGAGACTAGCTAGAAGCAGTACTATGTATTTATAATTGATAGCTAAAATATGATTTTTTTATAGATTTTATTTTATAAATTAATAATCGAGTGTCGGCAAGAAAAAAGGCATCGAAACAAATTCAAAAAGATTGAATGAGCATATACAGATTAATCAATGCCCAGCAATTAAAGATGATCAATATAATGAAGAAAAAGTCATCTCAAATTAATTTACTTTCATTTATTATTGATAATTCACCTGCAGCACACAGATATATGAAGCAACCACCCAGTAAGAAAAGCCTGTCCCCAAACACACTCAAAAGTTGTTCGCAGAAACCATAAAAAAGGAAACACAACACATAATTATACATAACAAAGCAGATAGGTAACGGTGATGCTTCACAGCATGTGCTTATATATATATATATATATATATATATATATATAATGTTTAGCCAAAGAGATGGTGGTGCTTCTTGCCATGAGCCTCCTCGTCGGCTTCCTTGGCTTCCTTCTTCTCGTGATGCTCATGGAAGGCAAGGCCACCGGATCCGACAGCGGCGGCGGCGGCAATCTCCTCTTCTATCTTGTGCTTGTGTGCATGCTCTGGGTCTTTCTCCGCCTTGTGCTTCTCATGCTACATATCATTTCAAACATTCATTCATCAATGTTAACATGAATATATTTATATATAAAATATTAACTTTATAATAAATTATAGTAGTAATATACAGAGACTAATTAAAGAAAGAAGAATACTAGGGTAATTATTCTTATAAGACTAAGTATATAAATTTTTTCCAATAATAAAACTCATCTCTCAAAATAAACACCATCAAGCATACCTAATTTTCAAAAAGCACAACAACAAAAAAATTTATCTGGAGTCAGTTATATGGATCATACAATACTATTAAACCATATCAACAAAACAAATCTCCAAATAAATTGTTAATAAAAAAAAAGTAATGCTTAACAACTTTACTGATCTGCCTCTACTTTTAGGCCGTCCAATGTATACATGTTCAAACGATCCTAAACGATTTTTTACCTTTCTCTCCTCAATTTAATCAAATAATTAAAATAATTTTTTTAAAAATTGATTTGAATTAGAAACACACATGATCAACAATATCCTAATAAAAAAAGATCATCAAAAGGCTGGGAGAATTAAAGAAAACAAAAATCAAGAAATTAAAATGAACCAGCGTATATACCACAGCATAAACGCCAGCAGCTGCAGCACCAAGCTCACCAAGATGCTCAAGATGCTTATGATGCTTCTCTTCCTTCTTGTAATCCTCCTCAAGAGACTGACCTCCATAGCCACTTTCAGGATTCTCACCATATCCGCCTGAAGGATTTTGGCCGCCATAGCCGGCATCTACAGGCTTCTCTTCGCCGTCCTTGTGGTGGTGGAACAGGTGGTGGTGGTGCTTCTCTTCAGCCATGCTGCTTCTTTGGTTATACGTACAAACTCGGATATCACAAATTAAATATCAGAATAAAAAGAAGATGAAGATGAGTATGATAAAGAAGAAGAAGAAATTTGTGTGTGTTTGTGGAGGATAGGAGGATGTGTATTTATAATTGGTGATGTGTGTGATTGGTCACAGGTGAATGGGTGGAGATTATTAGATCTCGGTGGGTCCTCCTCCACACAATCAGTTTAATTTGTATTTATTTTTTGATTATGACTTTGCATCGAAATGGAGGACTCATTTCCTTTATTTTAGCCACTTGGATGTTTCTCAATGTTTGCTCTAAACCGGTTGGTACAGGTGTGATTAATTGGAATGTATTATTTTTACTTTTTCCCCCCAAAAAATAAGTATTACTTTTACTTCTTCAACAATTAAAAGAATCTAATATTTCATTAAAATCTATATATTTATGTATAATATAAAAATTTTAACGAGTGACACTATCCACAAATAGTAAATACTACCCTTCGATCCTAATTATAAGAGCCAGTTGCTAATTTGAGGAGATTAAGGAAGTAAGTTGAGTTAGTTATTTATCCTAAATAGGTGTTGTCTTTCCTAAAATATCCTACTAATCAAGTGTATTGACTAGAACTATCATTATTAGAAAGGCTACTTTGAAAAAAAATGTATAATATGAGAGACAAAGTGAATTGGGGTCTTATATTTATGACCAAAATAAAAGTCAAACATGATCTTATATTAAGGACCAGAGATAGTGGTTTTAAACTCTGTTCCATGCACGAGATCGAAGCACTAGGAATAGAAAGAAGACAAAAGCAAGGCATAAATTTAAGTTTAATTTGTTTTAATATTTTCTATGTAAAAATGAAGATTTAAAAGTCTAGTTGTATGAAAACTTCCTACGTGATTGTGAGTTTGGATCCCTTTATAATTTAAAGTTTGAGAAAATTAATTTTTTGGTTCTTCAAATTTTAACTTAATTATAACTTAATTTTTCAACTATAACTTGTTTCTAGGCTTTTAACTCAATTAAAACTCATTCCCTATTTTTTTTTCTCATTTAATTAATCAGTCCTTTCCATACGTGAATCATCTTATGTGGAAAAAGGTGTTGCCCACGTGCCATCCAAATGAGTCCCTAATCACCCCCCCAGTCCCTCCCTGTCCGTGCGCCGGAGGAAATCAATGGTATAATAACACGTGTTGGCAAATATTTACTACTTCTTATTTTTAATACAAAATTTAGTTTGCAGTTTGAATTTGAATTACAAACTAGATTTTGGATTAAAAACAAAAGGTAATAATATAACCTTCAGGTTTAACACTTACTAGTGAATATTTAATTGGAAAAATGACAGTAATATATCTTTAAGAATGCTAAATAACAAGGTGAACCTCAAAATCCCGTTACTATTTTTAAATTTTTAAATATTGTGAATGTTAATGTCCTTCATTATTTTCTCTCTTTATTTTAAGAATGCCACTTCAACATCCCTAGTTGGAGGACCAACCCCTCTAGCAACTAGCCACTGAATCTCTCACAGTTGGACACCCAAGCTCCAATGACTATTTTTGTTTACTTATTAACTATTGTTAATTAGCTATTGATTACTTGTTTCTAGAGCTCTGATGATTATTTTTGTTTAGCTACTAGCTATTCTAATTTTATGATTGATTACTTTTATTTTTAAAAATCTCATGACTACTTTTGTTTAACTATTGATTATTCTAGTTTTGCTATTAGTTACTTTTGTTTCAAAAATTCAAAAAAATGCATTTGGTAGTAACTACTTGTGTTTAGTTATTTATTATTCTAGTTTGGCTGTTTACTATTTTTTATTTCAAAAATTTGAAAAATGTGTTAAGAACTCGTTAACTACTGTTGAGAAACAAGAGAAATAAATAGCGAAACTAGTATAGTAAATAAACAAAATTTTTCAATACAAAAATCAGAGTGATCAATAGTTACACAAGAATAGTTACTAGAACTGTGAAAACAAAAGTAATTAATAGTTAAACTAAAATAGTTAGTAGTTAAACAAAAGTTTTCATGGGGAGTAAAGGAGCAATGATATCATTTCACAACATTTAAAAATTCTAAAATAGTACAATGAGTCTTTTATTTGGGATTTTAAAATTCACCTATCCTAATTTGTCATTTAAAATTTTTGAAAATATTTTTTGTCATTTTCTCTATTTAGTTTTTTTCATTAATATATTTATGTCCTTTTCGTATGAAATTAGTCTTACTCAAATATTCTAGCTGTCATTTCACAAAATATTTTTTACAGACACGATCAAAATTGATAATTTTTTGTTGATCTAAAGCCTACAGGACTATGATGAGAAAATCCCTGAACATGTAAAATCCTAATTTAGACACCCTCACTTAAAAATGACAGAGAAGGAAGTGAAGTCTAAACTGGTATTTTTTGTGAAATTACCTATATGCATTTTTTTGTAAACTTGTTATTTCTAATTCAATACTTGTCATTATCAGTTTACAACTTATTAATTAACTAACTAAAATAATGGAGAACAAAAAAAAAGTTATGAAGCATATAATTTTCAGTTCAATACTTGTTATTACCATTTTATCATTTGTTATTTTCAGTTTATAACTTGTTAATTAACTAACTAAAATAATAGAGAACCAAAAAAAAAGTTATGAAACTTGTCGTTTACAATTCAATACTTGTCATTACAAGTTAAACACTTGTCATTAATTTTCAGTTCTGTTAATGTCATTTATGTCAAAAAAGGGCATAGGATAATTTCACAGTATTTTTAAAATGCCAATCAGTTCATGCCTCACTTCCTTTCCCATCATTTTGAAGTGTTAGCTATTAATTAGGTGCCTAAATTAGGATTTCATATAGTGGTGGTATATAAGGGGGACTATTAATGTTTATTAATGCTTTTTAAAGTTTTTAATATTTGATTGCATTTCCTTAAATTAAGCATGCATCATCGACAGATCATTATAGGATTTATTAATTAAAATATAGTCAATATTTTTTAACATCATATTATAAGTGTATAGTTTCATTGATTGTGAAGTATTACTATACTTTTTTCTCTAAAAATCATTTACGTGCTTTAAGTAAAATATAACATTTTCTGATTTTTCTGAAAACAAAGCTTTACAAAAAAAAATGAAAAAAATCTTCTATCCACCCCTTAATCAGCTAATTAATTACTCGAACTTGTCGATATAACTTTTGGTTAATTGAATAAATCTAGACAACTTGAATTTGAAGTTCTATATTCAACAAAAATTTAACAAGAAAAAGATAATACGACTGACTTTATTTTTTTTTTATCGCTAACATTTATTTTCGAGTTGAATTATCTCTCCCTCTATCTCTATCTCTATCTCACTACAGAAAGGATTTCATGCTAGAATTTTAATTTAAATATTTCAAAATTAATCAAAAATCCGATGTAACATTAATCTACAAAAACACAATACATCAAACAAGGGAACTAAACCGATCTATATAGTTCGGGGTGATAAAACCCATATTCTTTTGGAAAAAAAAAAATACTCCTTTGCTTCCAAATATAAAACTCATTTTGTAGTATAAATTACACTATAAAATGAATCTTATATTTAAAATCAGAGGCAGTACTTCTTTTGAATTGGAATACGCAACAAGCGTAAGGTGATATGTATGCGTAAGATCTTAAACATAAAATTACTTTAATAACATAATACTATCTCAGGCAAACTGAAAAAAAAAAAACATAATACTATCTCAAGTGCTAAATATAAGAGTTAGTTAAAAATTTAATTTGGTATTAATAAATATAAGACTCTAATCTACTTTGTCTTCTATGTTTATTTATTTTTTTCAAAGCAGTTCTTATGGTTATTACAGATGTTAGATTTTTATTCTAATGATATGATTAATAAGGGTATTTTTAAAAAAACAACTTACATTTATTATAAATAACTAATTTAACTAATTTTTTTAATATTTACAAATTAGTTATTTAACTCTTATATTAAGGATAAGAGGTAGTATGTAAAATTTATTAATAATAACTTAATTGCTTTCAGAAATAAATACCACCTTGATCTCATGCAATACAATTCATGATAAAGGAACAATATCAAATAAAAAATAATGAAGAGATAAATGGTGGAATAGTCAAAATGAGCCCCCCTTTCTGATATTTTCCCATCTTGGATTGAATATATGTGTTAATGAGGCGGTAAAGTAGGTGGTAAATTTTTATGCCCACTTTATAATTTTATAGTTATTAATAATAACATAATTCCTTTCAGAAATAAATATCATCTCATGTAATACAAGTCATAATCAAGGAACATAATTAAATAAAAAATAATGAACAGATAAATGGTGGAATAATCAAAATTAGCCCACCTTTATGATATTTTCCCACCCTCGTGATTGTGTTGATTAGATTTGGTAAAATAAGTTGGCACACAGCGAGTTAGACGGAGAAACCCGACTCAAGATGAGTTGGTATTTTGGTGTGTCCAAACTCGTCCAACTAATCAATTCTTTTTTTTTTTTAACCAGCAACTTATCAACTTACCTCTTATTTTATATAATCTCAAAATAATATTTTCATACTTTAAAAACTTTAAATTAAATAACAAGTTTTATATTTTCATAAAGTTATATAGTTAAATTAACCCCAAAACTTGTAAATATAAATATATAATCTATTTTACATTACTATTCTATTAATATAAAAATAATAAATTAATTTAAAAAGAGTGAGAAATGAAACATAAAATCAAGTTCCTAACATAAAGATATGGCTACTTAAATTAAGTATAAGATAATAATTTTCTTACTTCAATCAAAATAGAATAATTGTAAAAAGAGGGGAAAATATATAATACATTTTTTAATATAAAAATTTAATTATCGTTGGTAGCTACTACATAATTTGCTTTTTAAATGTATGTCTGTTTTGTTTTTGCCATCAGATATATGTCCTTTTCTACCCGCGAAAATTAAGTTGATTCACATTCTAAATATAATATAGTACCTTAATGTGTAAGTTTTCTTTTTTTTTAATTAAATATTTTTTCTCAAAAAAAAAAAAAAGAATACTAAGCGGAAAA